GATGATCCCCGGCAAATAAGATTTTTGAGAAAAAAACCTTATCCTTCGTGGGTTTCGTGAAGCTGCGACGGAATAATCGTGACAAAACCGTCGCAATGCGTTTGCGGCCCTCAAAGTGATCTTTTCTTGATTCTAACTTCAATATCAGAATCCAGGACATATGCTGACTCCATCAACTTGTGTTTACGATAATATGGCCTCCGTGGAGAGATTGGAGTGCGATGCGACGGTGGTATACGCCTTTGAGCGTCGCGCACTCATAACCTCAGGCAAGTGCACAAATATCTTAGTTGTTCACTGAAGTTGATTGTACATGAAAATAAGATACTGCAAAGGTGAGTTTTTTGTACATTGAAGGGTTTTTTTCACCGAATCATCAGTCATACAAATTTTGTAATGACGTACAAAGTGCGAAAATCAAAGCTCGTAACTAGCAGAGCTTACGAGCTCTGCTCGAGAAGTTTACATCATATATTCTGGAAATGGCGTTGTACACGAAATTTGCATGAAAAATAATTGTTGCGGCTATTTGTTGAGATATCAGCTGTTGAAGTACGGCCCTCAAGCAAAATTGCAAAAAAATTGAAGACCAAGGGTTTTTCAAAAAGCTATAAATGGTAACTTTTCAACTCTGTATGAATGAAGTTCTGACCAGTAGCAGTGCTGTTCATGAAGATCGATATAGCTCCACCAGCGGAGCTATCCAAAGCCACTGCATCCGAAAAATGTAGTTGGTAAATGCAGTTTTCAGCATCAAAATTTCGTGTTTTTTGAAAATTGCCCAAACTTGACAATTTTTGCATATTCTGATTCGCGCATTGATTAGCTCTTCAAATATATGGCACTCTTTGTTGAAACGTGAAGGGAAAAAACTGGTACTTTAGTTATCTCATTACGATATGACTTGGGTGCAGATGCACTCAAATTATGTAAAAATCATATCATGGTTTCTAATTATCTAGACTCTTCATACAATAACGAAATTATCAAACAATTTCAATTTTGCATCTTCTTGGCGGTGCGGTCTCTGTTCCTGGGTAATTAACCTAGGTCACGGCGTGCACGGCGCGTCTTCACGCCTACCGCGCTGCCGCGGCCCAGGCATTTTCGCACCTCAAGAGTAACCACGAAAACGACATATAAGAACGAGAAGGAGAAATACTCCATACACATTACATTTATTGGTTTTATACATTTTTATATACTTTGACTCCAGAAACTATTCTCATACTTGAGACGTTGAGACTATTCTCATAGTTATTCCCAAATTTGATTCCAACCGCATTAACTCATCCATTATTTATTTCTAAAGGGCTTCCAGGCATTGTCTAAACATGGCAAGCTGTACAAGAGGACCTTCATGCTTCTTTGCCAGCTTTGACATACCTCGACGTGGAGATGCAAAAAGTTTTAGTTGCTCAACGAATTTTTCAAAAAAACCTTTATGATTTTGTTCAGTAAACTTTTACAGTTCTCTCACTCTATCACGCATACATATACACTCCACATCAGACATTCATACATACCGTTGCTGGGCGGCGTGGCAGGAGTTCCCAAAACTTAGCCGCTTTTCCTAGCAGAGGTACTTGGCACCTCCAGAAATCCCTTGAAGGACATCACACCTTCTCGGGGCCAAAGGGCGGCTCCGCCCATCACTCCTCCCTCTAGGTGCCCTCATTTCAAATTGTGTACACGCACTGTAAGACATGCCTCATTGTATATGATGAGAATAATAGAACTGGAATCTAGAGAAAAAAATATTTAGGTTCTAAAAGGTTTAAGTCCATATACGACTGCAGCTGAATTTCAGCATTCCGGGTGATGTTTTACTCATATTAGGTCGGTGCAAAAGTTTTGTCAGTTTTTTCAATCCATCGGCAAACACGCTAGAATGACGATAAACGAACATTTCAAAATGTATCCGATGCAGAATTTCTTCCTCTTTCCAGCTGCTAAACTCACATTGTGTTTCGTTGAGAAAGTGATGAGATATTCGGTGGAAATTGCAACCATTCGTTTTTACCATCTCCAACTTTCACTAATTTTTAAAATGTTTGTGTGAGACTTTCAGAGGAGCTCTAATAACCAGCAGATAGGGCAAACCTTTTGCCAACAAAAGCGTTTTTTGCAGCCCTACGGCTTGTCTTTCGGAATTTCTACGATGTATTTTTTGAAGTAACCAAATTTTACATTCAGCCTATTTTAACCTCGTAGAACATAAAATGTTAAACCTTCAGTCACCAATCAATGCAACTTTTTCTCCTCTTTCTAGCACTTGTCTTTTTTTGTTGAGACAGGCGAAATTTGTGAGGAAAACCGCAGTATTTCTCATTCTCAAGAGTGCGCACTGACGTAACCTATGTTTCAAAATCATCATAATTTGAAGCGAAAATTGCTCATATACTTTGTAATGGTAGCGGTAGTAATAATCTAGTGTTGAAACCTCAGTATTTTGTAGGTTTTGCAGTGTTTGGTGCAATAACAGTCAAGCGATTTTTCCAAAACATAAGGCTTTTAGAAAGTTATTTAGCAAAAATCTGAAAAAGCGGCTGAGAAAGGGAAAAAAATCGCTTCTGTTGGCAAAAGGTTTGCCCTATCTGCTGGTTATTAGGTCTCCTCCGAAAGTCTCATACAAAAATTTTGAAAATTAGTGGAAGTTGGACATGGTAAAAGCGAATGGTTGCAATTTTCAGCGAATATCATCACTCTCTCAACAAAACACAATGATAGTTTAGCAGCTGGTAAGAGGAAGAAATTCTGTATCGGATGCATTTTAAGTTGTTCGTTTATCTTTATTCTAGCGTGTTTGCCGATGGAATGAAAAAACTGACAAAACTTTTGCACCGACCTAATATTTTCAGATAGACTGAGGCTTCTTCAAAAACTTTCAAGTGCTCGTGCTTGAGTAAGTTTGTGAAACATATCGCACTAACATAAATTGAGCAGAAGTTACGAGTATTCCAATCACGGTATATAACAGAGAAGTTAGTTTATTTTACGCAAGTTCTAAAATATCATCAAAAAAAAAATACAGCGAATTACCATATCTTGCAAATTAGTGTCGGTATTTGGAACTCTTAGTCAATTCTTCGTTCACGCGACGAAGTTTGGTATTCTAGTACATCGATTGTAGGAAATATTAAGCTTGAAAGATTCTCCATTATAATTTGGGCCTTACTGATCATTAGATTGGAATGAAAAACTCATTCGAGTATAATAGTAGATGATGGCAGACAACAAAAAGTATGTGTTCAGACATCCTATCTGTTGGATAAAGCGTTAAATGCTTGTTCGGAACCTTTGTTATACTTCTTTCGAAGTAGGTCCTTCTATTGCTGAGAAGGAATTGAGTTCTCAAATTCCTGATGCTAAATTACTTCAGTCAGATGACCAGTGATGCACGATTGTTTTTTATGACCAGATTTCCAATTCAAAAAACTCTTTGCTATTTTTCTCTTCTCAAAGTAATGTTCATATGCTCTCTTTTGAAAAAATGGCATAGCAGAAGTTTCCAAGCCGCCTCACTTAAGAGATGATAAATATGAATACCTGAATACCTGAATCCATGTTCTCGCTGCTTGCACGCCTCATAATGAGACCAGTAATGGGAGGAGCAATGGGCGGGTCCTGACCTCTGAAGCGCGGAGGTGCTAGAACCCTTGGGTGCGAATGCTTGTGCGAAGTTGGTGTGAGGAAAGGTGCTAAGAACTCCTGCACGCCCTCCCCGTTGCTGTAATTCTTACGGTGGCGTGGCGTTATGGAGCAAAGCTAAGCCGCATTCGCCTGCGGTATATCCTGAGGGTCCTTTGCGTTGTGTCGCCCTTAATTGCACCCGCAGAGGAGCTAGCGTTACCCAGCAGATTGAGTCATTCTCGAAATTCTTCTTCTGTAAAGAGACCAAAATGCGGAAGTCAAACGAATTTTGAGAATGAAAAAATAGATTCTGAGGAAGAAGTGTTTGAAAGTACCACCCAAGAGGAAGTAAAAGCTTGGAATGTCAGTAATGAAAGTTTTCTGTCCTTTTTCTTTACTAATTCTCATGTTACATTTAAAATCAATCTTTTATTCTCATCCGAGATTCAGCCTTTGCATCCGTAAAATCCATCTATTTTTCGATTTCAAATACCTTTATTGCATTCATGCAGTTTGGACATCTTCTCAAGGCGTAGCAATAGGGAATGGCTCAGTTCGCTTCAGTTCGTGAAGAGCGGCATACTCCTGCGGCTGCAATTAAAGGCGACGCAACGCAACTGGCCCTCAGGATATACCGCAGGGGAATGCGGCGCTGCTTTGCTCCATAACGCCTGCCCCCCAATTCTTACTGCCTACAAATTGAAAAAGTGAAAATTTGGAGGATCTTCAAGCTTTTGCCAAATCGATGCTGTGCTGTTTCCACATAAGAAATTATAACTTACAAAGCTGAAGAAGTACAAGCGTAAATTTTCAGCTTTCTATAAAGTAAGCTCTTAGAAAAATCAAATTTGGCTTCACTTGTGGGATACAATAGCTTTTATGGGAACAGAATAGCACCACTCTGACAAAAGCATCAAAATTTCTTTTTCTTGCTTTGTGACCAAAGAAGAAACATGTCTAAATGAAGTGTAGAGCTCTCTTTCACACGTGAGCATATGAGAGAACCTATCGAAAAGGATATGGATTTTAAATTTTATACTCGAGGCGGAATGAAGCTGGTTTGAAAGCATGAACGCCTTCTTGTACAGCTTGCTTTGCTCTACAAAGTAATGCAAAGGTTCGTATTTTGAAATGATGTTAACTCCTTCTTTCATGCACAATGAAAGCCTCACTTATCGCTTTGCTTCTATTTAACCTTTATCAGTGTTTCTCGTAAGTTACGGCCACAAATATTTACATTTTATGCCCTCACCTTTTTGTATGAACCTTGGCTATGATCACAACTAGAAGTAGAATATTTATTGAAAGCGTATAAATCTTTTTCTCATGTACAGAAACTGTGTTTGAAGCGCGTCTCGAGGCGACGCTTACTTCTTGCCAGCCATAGCGTAGCCACCGCCGCCGCCTCCTCCGGTAGGGTAGCCACCACCTCCTCCGGAAGGATAACCACCTCCACCAGAAGTAGCGTAACCGCCACCAGATGCTAAAAAATGGCGATTTCAAATGTATCAAAATGGGCAGATGCCAGAAGGACTTACGAGGAGCTGCATATCCGCCACCGCCGCCTCCTCCGCATCCTCCGCCGCCGCCTCCGCAAGGTGATGGAGGAGGTGGGCAGCACGGTGCTGGTGGGGGAGCTGGAGGTGGGCAGCACGGTGCTGGTGCGGGAGCTGGAGGTGGGCAGCACGGTGCCGGTGCTGGGGCAGGGCTGAAAAATGGGATTTAGCAGAAGATGACGTTTTCTTAGAACCTTATCACCTACCAGCAGCTTCCTCCTCCTCCTCCGCCCATACTTCCGAACAAGAATGCTTCACATGCAGCGAATACCGCAAATCCGACGATTGCGTATTTGATCATCCTAAAGCTTTTTAAAGGATGAAATAGTTTATTCAGTAAAGAGCTGAGAAGTAAACAGATACAATGAGGGTCTATTACCTTTGAATGGTTGTTCCTTGGTGGGATGAATTGCAATTGTGCTAGCACTTTTTATACTGACTCCTAGCATGCTAATCCATAGAAAACTCAAACTATGCAGGTTTTCTATGTCGGAGCGTAACCATGCTAGCGAAACCAGCAGATTATGCGGACTGTTTCAGTCTAGGTTACGCGCTCCTTGCGCGCTATCCTTGTCGCGAGAACCATATATGTTAGCAGATACATGACAAGGTGCAATCAATTTAATCTTTTGCTTTTAGACAAAAATAATGACCTCTGTAGCGCTGGAATTAGCACTCAAGCATTTTGGCTAGATTTTTCAAGCATTTAGATGAGATTTTTCTTTTTTCTTCTACATCTGGTACATTTCTATTTGTCTTGTCTTTTGAAGTGCGGAACGTCTACTGAGTACATTATTTGCAAAGCAAACGAATTACAAACTCGCGCTTGAGTTTAGTACGATAAGTCTACGAAAGCTGCACTATGATTTACGCAGTCCTGCACAACTCTATTCAATCAGCTTTTCGTTCACAAAAACTGTTTTTTTTTCACCAGAAACGATAGTAAGACTTTTTTCATATTGAGTGTAAATATTAATGCATTTTGTCATCGTTTTCCAAGTATTTGAGGCTTCAGAAGTTACTCTTTTCTCTTATAATCAACATTGTTGTATGATGACAAAAGTCTAAGCATCAAGCAAACCACTGCCACGAATAAAGCCAACCATGTACGTTTTTCCAAGCAATGATTTTCTTAATGGTTTGACGTCCTTAAGGGCTCGAGGAAAGCATTTTGTCACACAATCCTGAAGCATACAATCAAAACAAACCGGCTGAGAACTTGCCATTTACATCTGGAGATCTAACAATCTTTGAACATCTATTTTTGATGAGGGACTGTTTAACTGTAACACCCACACTATAACCACCAGCTCCGGTACGAGAGGAGGGGTCCTCAAAAATGGGTCAAAGTTTTTGAAACAATCATAATTCATTACACCTTTTACAAAACTGTGCAGCCGACTTGCATTTATTTTTACTAATCAGATCAATGTGCGAAACCCGGAGTTCGAACTGAGCAAAAAAATTTTATTGTTGGGTGAGAAAAATTTCTTCTTTGCCGCCACTCTCAATTTGTTCTCAAAGCATCAGCGTAATAGGCTGCAGTAAAAGATATATGGCTATGCTACTCTCCATTTTAAAAATTTCTACCGTGCCCCTTCTTCCCCCTCTCTTAAATAATCTCTCGGACATCCACTAATAATCAATGTTTGAATGGAGCGCTGATTTGCATGAAGAATCAAAGCATCCCTCAAGTCCACCCAAAAAGTGGAGAGATGAGGTGACTATCAACTCGCACATTCGAATTTTGGAGCATTTTAGAGATTTTTTAATGATACGTTAAATGAGATACAATGATCGCGAAAGCTGTAAGAATTGAACTAATTTTATTCGACAATGCATTTCATAGAAGAGGTGTATTTAAACGGATTAGCATTTGAGCCCAACTGGAGGCTTCTGAGTATGATTTTCTTTTTCCCTCGCCTTCAGATTTTCTTCACATAAACGTCCATAGCTCGTTGCTCAAAGGAGCTTCGCAGACAGGAAGCCCTTCAAACTCATATGCAATCCATCTGGAAAGGCCACTTCGACAAGCAATCCCTCCCTAGTAAGTTGCCACATGGTAGTCAGACAGCAGCCATGAAAATGAACTATGAGAAGAAGAAATTCAGAAAAACACATAAATGCAACTGTTGAGTTGGTCCATAAGGCCGGCACCGAATTAAAAATCTAACCCCCTCCGATTAGTGTTGATCCTGAATGTAGGCCCCACGAGAGGGGCATCTGCGTTAGTCCGGTCCTTCAATGTTGTCTCTGAATGGAGATAAGGGGCCTGGGACAGCCAAAGTGCTATCAGACCCCGCCCAGATCCTATCAGACTCCGCCCACCCATGTACTGAAAGCCGTCCGCTCTCTCAAGACAGGGTCCTCAAAAATCGGGGTTTTTGTGGGTTTCGGACTACTTGGACTTTAAAACTGTAATCAGGGCCACGGAAAGGCCCCGGAATGGCAAAAACCTGAAAGGCAAAATTCTGGGTGGACGCTGCCGTTAAGTCACATTCCTTACATATTTAGATAGGTTCTGGTAGCCATTTGATCTCGCGAAATTTTAAAAGATGAATCGAAATATTCGCGGAAGCTTTGATAAACGTAAAATTTGAAACTAGGGTTCCAAATGCCAGAAAAATCGAAAAAATCGCCTTGAAAAGTCCTACAAATTTCCTACTCGCCCAAACTCACGTAGGACCTCCATAATACCAATGTACAATTGCTCTGCTAGAAATTGAGAAGTCGAAAACTATAGTCTACTTGTCAAAGTAATGCTGAGCTATTCCTACATTAGTTTTCGTTACTACAAGCTTTTAAAAATACATAAATGCTTGCGCGAGTAGTTATGTAAGATTTTCTGGACGAAGTTATGATTTTTCTCGATTTTTCGGACATGCTCCTTTTATTTGGCTTCAAACCTAGCGAATATCAAAGTTTGCGCAAAGCTCAGTATACACTTTTGTAGCACTCAGTTTTCTGTCGAGCGATTTCGGAACTCCTCTAGGGTAAACGAAAACACGACTTATCGGTATATGTATCGCGGTATAAAATAATTTGATTGAAAGAGTGTACAACCCGATACATAAGAAGAATTTTGTGCAGACACTCCCAAAAAGATGCAATTGCGCATCTCCTATGTTCCTCTGTGCTAGTAAATAAGTGCAATATTTATTTTCATTTTCTCATGTACAGATATTCTACGAAGCGGTCTCGACGCAACGCTTACTTCTTGCCAGCAATAGCGTAACCACCTCCTGGAGGAGCAGCATAACCTCCGCCAGATGCTGAAAATTCGAGTTGGAAAGGACTCTGAAAGCCTGATATTAGTAAGATGAGGACTTACGAGGAGGATACGCCGGTGGAGGAGGTGCATAACCACCACCGCCACCTCCTCCGCATCCTCCTCCGCCTCCACCTCCGCAAGGTGATGGTGGAGGAGGACAGCATGGGGCTGGAGGTGGTGGAGGAGGAGCTGGAGGTGGACAACAAGGAGCTGGTGGTGGAGCTGGAGGTGGGCAGCAGGGCGCCGCTGGTGCTGGGGCTGGCGCAGGGCTTGAATTTTGATTTTCAGGTGAAAAAATGATAATTGGAATGTTGCAACTTACCAACAACTACTTCCTCCACCACCCATCATTGGTGGAAACAAAAATGCTTCACATGCAGCAAATACCGCAAATGCGACGAATGCGTATTTGAGCATCCTAAAGCAAAAAGGTGCATTCTCGAATATACTGGCATTGAACTGAGAAAATGAAGCTCTACCTGAGAAGACCTATTCCTCGAGGGATGAACTGCCACTGTGCTCACACTTTTTATAGTTGATCCATGCACGCTAAGAGGCTTATATTGTACAGGTTTGCCGCCCTAATTGAGATTATGCGGAGGGAATTCGGTTTTGAGTTTAGCTGCGCATTTGCGCATTCATAGCCCGAAAAAACGTCTTTATCATTCTGATAGCTAAGAAGAATCTGCGACTTAGTAGGAATCCTACAGCATCTGATTGACGCTACTTACAGCAGCTTACTCCACCAAGCTACTGCACCTGAGCTGTCCTGCCTTTGAGAATGAACCCTAAAAACGTTCTAGAGAAGAACCAGGCAATTTTGGCCTTTCATGGATGTAACAGGAAACTGCCTTCCTTGCCGTGGCGCTTGGAGACGGTCATAGGGTTCACAATATTCTTTTTCTGGCATCGTACCGCAGTAAAAGCATCAAGTATCATCATCCCATTCATTCGCTCCTAATTTGCCCTTGTAAATGAAGCTTGAACGCTACCACAGAAAAATCGTCTCGGATCGCGACCCTACTGCACATGTGTAGTATGGTCCGAGCCAGGAAACGAAGTGTGTTTACGTGGGAGAACGACAGCGCAGGGTCAGTACAAACAAGTACGCCGGCATGGGGCACCTCTTTACTGCTCTGGGATTTTACTCAAAATTTATATTTTTGGGGCTATAACACTGGAAAATCACTTGGTCAGCATTCTATGTAGCAATTTTTACTTTTCATTACCCATTGGGGGCTCACAGATACCATCATACAAAGGAAAACCTTGTGTGTTGCAAATTGCTAAATTGTAAAAAGGAAGTACCTAGATGGACAATAACAATAACAATAAGTGGATACTGACGGCAAATGTAGTTTCAATCTCGAAGCACTGAGCAAACGCAAGCGGTCACCAGTAAGATGCCGCTTGCACATCGTTTCACATTCTTTCAAATTTTTGCACACTCATCATGATCCACTTGTTCCTTACAATTAGAAAACCAGGTTATTTGATGGGTGATCCCACATAAAATTAGTGACCCTTCGGAGCTTAAAGTGACTTGCAGAATCGACTAATGCAAATTCATCCAAAATTGCAAGAATGAATCACCAAACTAATTTTCAAGTGTTATATTTGCTTTGCTCACTAACACTACCGCGCAAGAAGAGAATATAAAAGTGTATGTAAATAAAATTTGAAGATGAGAAACATATTTAGGCAAAGTGTATTTTGCCTTCTTTGAAATGGTTTTGGGTACATTTTACCGTTGTTTCGTTCTCGAAAAGGCCAAGGATGAAATAGTTCTACCAGAATTTTCACGCAGTGAAATTTCGATGAGATTCGTTAGCTTTGAGCAGTCTCGTACTTTCTTTATCAGTAGTATTACCACTCTCGTATTTTTTTGTAATTTTATGCAACTGTGTTGGAATTACTAAGGAAACGAGTTCAGAAGTCTAACCACGTAACGCTCAATCCAGTTCCTTCACGCTTTAGCGCTCTCCGATTCGCACATTCTCGCAACGTGGACAGAAATACCTAGGTGCGTTAGTACGCAAACCTGTCTTGGAACGCACCTGTTGTCCTTGGATTACAGTGAAAGGGTGGGGAAGACCAAGACCCGATAACAATGCGTTTGTAAAATAGAACTTTGAAAGATACTTTGGACTCTTTACTCTGACTGATTTTGCTTGCAACAACCCTCTCTCTAGGTCGCGAAATTCCAAAGTGGTTACAAAACTGTGTGGATGATTCGTTTCTACTTGGGAAATGCAGTCAAATTTCAGTCATTGAACCTGCATTTTCAAAACTCGTGGTTTCTTGATATTTTATCATCCTCTGTGCATTACTCTTGTAAATTGAGCGCTATCTGAGAATAGGCTCATTGTCAGAATGCCGGAGAATGGGACACTGCGATAGGTACAATCGTGTGGTTTTCATGCAGCAAGGCCTTCAAGAGTAATGCATTCTATCGAAGAAAATTGTTAATTACTCAGAAACTATTCAGGCTGGATACTCTCCACATTTTTTCAAAAGAAATGTAAATACAGTCTTCCTTTTTTATGTGGTGTTTATTTTATCTAGCGTTAATATTTTTCTGCCACTTTCAAGATACTGATTCTAATGCTTTGCTAGAGAGGAAATTCAACGAGGAAACTTCAAGAAGGGAAGACGAATATAAGTCTAATATGTAAGTCATTCATGCAGCCATAGAGAATTTACTAACAAAAGCATGAATCTATGGACATGCTGCTGCACCCGGAGATCCCATCGTAGTTGGTACAACTTTAGGTTGCGGTTTCCCTACCGAAGGGCGGAGTATCTCGAAAGAACACTAAAATGTTCGTATTTACTTCAGAATTTAATTAACTTCTTCAAGCACCTGGAGGTTTTCATCCACGGTCATCATTGCAGCGGCGTTATCGAATTGTCCACAGTAGTGAGGTGCGGAGAAGATCGTCTGAATTCCATCGCTGAAGAAGAGAAAGCAAATTCTTATAAGAATCTTTCTACCACTAGTTTCCTTCCTCCAAAGAATTCATAACCATCTTGAACTACCTGATGAGCCCGAGCAACCTGCATGTCAGAAGAGTTTAGTGATAATGTTGGATGAAAATTTTTGCACTCACCAAGTCGATATTTAGCATGTTGCAGTATTTGGCCAGTATATCCGGCCCAAAACCGACAGATGCACCGCGCATGTTCGCCTAAAATACTACAGAATTCATCGAATCAAAATTTTCACCTTTAAAGAGATAGGACTTGAAGATGACGGCAGTGACATAAATGCTAGAATTCCACGCCTATCCATCATATTCAAATTTTTGATGGTATTGTCAAGTATCGAAGTTGAAGGCAGTGTCCCGGCAGATTCGCGCCCTGGGGAATATTGCTATGGTGGGGTTCCTAGCCATCTCACTGACCCCCAGCCACATTCCGGCTGGTTTGATGTTCCCTCTGGGCCGAGAAAGTAGCCCTTGAACCGGCGCGCAACCCCAATCGTCGCGCGCTCGGACGACTTCGCTTACCGTTCGGCGCGGGACCCCACGATCGCTCTCCCGCATTGTGCGTGCTATCCAAAGTAAAACTGCAGTTACCAGTGTCTTCGTGCCAAGGCCTCCCAACTTTCCATAATTCTCGTCCGAGCTGCCTTTTGGAAAATGGGTAAAGTTACGAAAAAGGTCTTTTCACCCGTTTCGAAGCTCAATCTCGGGATCTACGGGCCCAAAACATGCGAAAAGATGGAAAGGCAAAATCTGCCGAGTACCTACCTTTGAGCTGCGTCGTACACAGAATTATTTATTGAATTAGATTTATTGGGGAATTCTCGTGAATTTTTTTTCTTAGCTGAAGCCGGTCACTTACTGAGTCAACTCGAAGAAATCTCTCTAAAGTTTTCCAACCCACAGGTTTTAGAGTATGCTCGAAACTTTTAAACAATACAGAAAAGAGTTGGTTCACCTGGAATCCGCTAAGACCTATGACCGGGTCCGCCCAGAGCAAATCCATTTCCAGTGTATTTCCAGTCGCATCCGTTGGTCTAAACAAAGAATTTTTCTTTCATTTTGCTTTATGCAAAATATACCTTGGAACTGTTCTTAGTTGATCAAGCGATTCCAAATGTGGAGATAGTCCACCATGCATGCAAAGAATCTTATCACCAACTAGCGCAGTCAAAGGCAAAACGCAGAATGTGTCCTTAAACCTTCTTAAAGGCTTATCCATGCTATCTAAGGTAGTTTTCCACCTGAAATGACTGCCACATCCTCTGACTCTGATATCTTCTCATGCACTCATCGTAAAAGCCATAAGTGCGATTCACATTTGCGCATTCATGATTTCCACGCAATATGAAGAAATTCTTGGGGTAGCGTAACTGTAACACACAGTAAGCAAACCCGACACGTAAGAAACCTCAAAATCAAACCTTGTAAGCAATAACTAACAAAATAACTTCTAGGTTCTGCTTTCCTCGGTCTACATAATCTCCCAAAAACAGATAATTTGAGAGAGGAGGAAATCCGCCCTAAAATGAGTCAACATAAAGCAGCATCTAGAGTTGGCTATGTGTAGGCGGCCCGCCAGTTCGTGCCAACCCACAAAGAGTGCCGCGTACTGTCGATGGACGTTTCGGCACGGCGCCAGCACGACGGTGGTACGGACAACTTGATGCTATCTGATATAAAAACAATTCCCTACCTTGTTGAATATTCGCAGCAGGTCAGGATATTGTCCATGTGTGTCTCCGCATATTTTCACAGGTGAGTCGAGTTCTACCATAGATGGTTGAGACAGAAAAAGTTCACGTGCTTTGACTGTAAAGTTCAATCAAGTGTTTATCGTCATAATGATATTTTGCGAAAATTACTTAAAGTCTCCATGATAACGTTTTCGGATACTGTTTTTGTAAGTCCCTTATCAGGTAAGCCGACACTGAGAAGGTTAATGATCAGCTGAGTAGGTTCCATGCCTAAAACAGAACACATTTATCTGGGAGTGTGAACCGAAGTGCTAATGAGACATTCTCAGTTCCTGTTACAATGCCTTGTTAAAAAGATGCGCGTATCAATATAAAAGTTTCTCTGAGGGGTCCGGAGTGGAGAGTGTTAGCAAGAGGTGAAGTATAAGGCAGCCAACACCGGCCCTACTTTCTTTACCCTCCCTCATAGTACACGATGTTCAACTTTCTCCAGCAAACTTGGTTCTAGCTAGACTAGCGTCTTTCTGACTAGATGTTTGAACTTCCCAAGCTTCAAGACTTCACCGCTCACAAAGATTGTCCATGCCAATCCCTCTTAGAGGAAGAAAATGTTATCACATTTTTAAACACAAGCTTATTCTTTGCAGTTATTGTAAGGCGGAGGTGAGGTGCATATGTCCATTGTTCCTTTGAGAGTTTAGTTAAGCGCAACAATTCGTAGATTCAGCATTACGATTACACACACCTCACTTCCGTCTAGGATTCATAACAAATGGGGCACATCGGCCTTCGAGCAGACTTGTTCGTGCCAGCGCGTCCTGGAATGTCGATCGATCGGGTCGCATGTAAATGCAGCACGGCGCTGACACGCCTGGCACAGTGTCGGCAATCAAGCACTTCTGGGCACTTCCCTAGAATTTCGCTGATATAGAAAAGCATACCAGAAAACAAAACCACTCTGATGTTCTTTTTGACCAAAAACAACTTATTTCATCTTTCAAATGATTCATAAAATTATATACGGTTCGAGACAGCTGCAACACTGATGCGTAGATTTTAGATATTAGATTTGGATCAACAGGGAAGATGCTACGGTAGTGTTCCAAAGAGGAACGAACATAGGATGAACGGTGAAGACCGCCAAAGTGAGCACAATTACAATAAGCACTCACTTTCGTTTTCGGTATGCTTCTTAGCAAACTACCACGTCTTGAGTAACAAAATAGAGAAATGAACAACCCCGCATTGTCATGAAAGAAGTCAACAATATTGATGGCTTCATGAAGAATGAAGAGGGTCATCCATTTGTTTTTTGTTCTCACCTATGCGAGGTTGAGCTGTGAGCATGACGAGTGAGTCAGCGTTCACGTTATTACATGCGTTAAAAGGCTGATATATCAAAGTCAAGCTTGGCTCACTTTCCTTTTGTCCTTGAGAGCTTCTATTCATTAAAGGCGGATGAAGAGACTTCAAAAATAGCCGAATGATTTCTGGATCTGTGCTGCTCTCGTAAAAAAAGCTCTCCTTCTAGAAAAAGCTGGAAACTACATAGTTTAGCACTTTGTTTATTAAACAATCACGCAATCCATGACGCTTCATAGTTAGTAAAGTGTGACCTACTCACATGTGGAGCTATTAGGTTTCGCATTTTGGACAATCGCCAAAACCGCTTCCATTGAAAAGCAAGAACACGACAGGGAGAAAAACTCAAGTTTCCAAATTAGCTTATTTCCTCCCTCTGTTAAAATAGTCGTTTTTTCAGGGGTACATTTTACTTTCGTAATAACAGTTGCTTTCATAACCGGAATCCATATCGTTCATGCACATTTTTGTAGAAAAGATGACCGAATTGTTACCAGGGTATGAGTCAATGCGTCCTCTAAAACTTATCTACTTGCCCTTTTCTCTAGAATGACCACGAAGTCTGCACATTTTCTCAACACATCGAGAACGACTGCAAGTCTGCAGGTCCATTTTATTTCGGAACGGATGTAGTGCCGAATAGCCTTGTAAGATTATCTTCAATGTGGTTTCCACAAAATTTTTCAAAAACCTCCAGACAACAAAATGTGTGGTAATGAACCATACGATTACATGCAGCTGTAGAGAAGACCTCTGCAATAGAATGGCTAATGTGAAGGTGGTTAAAATTCTTAAAAATCGAATAAAATATTGATAGGCCTTCCAGACCATAATAGGAGAAAACCTCAAAGGTCCAGCAGATGTTTCTTTTTGCAATAATTCTGATATGACCATGGCTGATTGCATACAACTGCTGAAATGCCTTCTAGCTAATCTGGGTAAATTTTAAGACTTTTCTTTCATTGAAGGTTGGACGAATTTAGCACATAACTGGAAAATTTAGAGCTAAAAATAAACACGCATCAAAGTTTCGACGACTATTTCGACAATATTTCTATCAATGAGGTGTTTTTTTTTCAAAATTCAGTGTTTTTTATCCAATAGGAAATACCTTACCAATAATAAATTTTTTAGGTAGAACAATTTCCAAGAAATAAACACAGCAGACTCAAGCACTTTCAAAACGAGGATAAGTGAGACGATGATAAAAATTTTAGCATTAAAAAAAACTTTTTTCCACTTTTCAGCAATTTTTTCTTTATCCTGATTATACTGGCCATGGTGGCATATATTGTCATCATTGTTGTGATTATGGTTGTAGTAAATCGTCCAAGAGATGCCAATCAGTTGAGCAGCGAAAAATCAGCACGACTGAAGGCATCACGAGCAGAGGCTTATAACGAAGAGAGAATTGAAGCTGGAAAGATCGTTCAGTTTCGGTGTTGATCAAAATAATTAGTATATTTGAATGAAAACCGTGATTATGTACGATTCCAAATAATAAAGTTTTGCTTGAAAAGTTCGCACTGCTTGCAATTTTCTTGAGGAGTAGGGGTTGTTTATATAGGATCAATAGTGGCAGTCACCATTCCTTTCCATTCCATATAGTGTGAGTGTTTCAGCATCAGTTCAATCTGCTCAGACAAATCACCGGAACTTCCGCAGGACAAGCCAAATTTGCGAAGTTCCGCAGGATATTGTTCACTACTGCAAAAATGAAAACCTTGAAAATCGGAACTTCAGCGAGATTTTCATGTCAAACTGGTTGAAACCCGAACTTCCGTAGAACCTTCTTCAAAATCCTGCGAAAATTACGAAAAATGCCAGAGGTTCCGCAGCACGTTGGCCTGCCAGAACTTCCGCAGGACTTTGGATGATTTGTCTCGTGATGTTGCCTCGCCAACAACTAGAGTGCATCATGGAACATGTCAGCCGTAGCGTAGAGGATAGTAGGTGGGTCTCACAGTCAATAGAGTGAGGTTCAAATCTCGCTTCGATGTCCTCTTATGGTGTTGTGGCTGGCATGTTTCGGAACTTCCGCAAGCGTTCTGCGGAAGTTCCGGTCATTTGTCTGAGTGTGTCTAAAAAAGTGAAAATGATTTGTAATGTCCTTTTGGATAAGAAACATTACATCTCTTGCAGCTTACGACAAGGTTGACGCAGCATCTGTAAATGATATAAAAGTTTAACCAATATAAGCGTTTGACCAATCGTTACAATTTCGATTTCCGTTTATATATTCATGGGCACCTTTTCTCGCCGTTGCCAAAAATTCTTCCAAGAAGAGAAAAGAAGGAATCAAAAATAACGAGCAAAAGGAATTGAAAATTACTAGTATCTTTTTGATTTGGAGATGATTTATGTACTGAGAGGATTCTTCGAAACCAGGGTCCGAGGCTATCGCTAATGGATTAAAATCAAGAAAGGGCTATTAGTTCAAATACCGCACACGAAAAAGACTGGAATGGATGAAGGTTGGGTAGCGCACTTGTTACAGCTTCTCTCTTAAGCCTCTCATTCATACTCATTCAAATTCTTTTCAAAGTTATTTTTTGCTCTGGATCTGGAAGGTGGTCAATCATCTTTTTTTAATGGAAAAGTTCTATGAGATTTCATGTGTTCGCACAAAAACTGCTGTGACCATACAACTTCTAGCCACTTGCCTGGATTTTTGTTTTATCATTGTTGGTCAGAATGACTCTTGCAAAAGTATACAAGCAAGACTTCTCCATTGGCGTCCAAAATCTTCATTTGACGAGCATCACACGATACCATTGTTAAAAGCGGGACATTGTCATTGTGTTAGGTCTCTCTCCAGTCCTCCTTGCCAGCCAAGTACGTCTTATTGTTAGAACTTGAGTACTGTTCTAGATCGTGCGCCACTAATTGCCTGTTGTGTCACTTCAAAATTACTGTTCATTAATCGGTTGAAGGAATCCATCATCTTTAAGAAAATATTTATTTATTTGAATAAAAGCTCATCATTATTAGTGGTACAGTCATTCATTCACTATAACATGCGCAGTCTCCCTCCTACGAGTACCCTTTCATATGGTGCTCCTGCAGATGGTTGCCAGTAGTGAGGTCCATTGGTAGGCGCCCCATAGGATGTTTGAGCAAATCTGGAGCGGTTGTCGAATTAGAGGTTTTATAAGGGGAGCAAGTGGTTAGATTTATGAAAAAGAAACTCACCCAATTTGTCCAAACCTATGATGAACAACTGGAAATCCTTGGCCTACAAGTAAAATTTTTTAGTTGATTAACACTTCTTCTTGTTTGTGAGCACCTACCTTCATTATAACCACCAGGTACGGCATATCCTCCATTGCTCTGAATGGGCCCGACTGGTCTCAGAATATAACCGGAGATCTGACCGGATCCGTAGGGTGAAAAGTAAGAACCGGATGGATAGGAAGATGCATAGGAGGCATATGATGGCTGATAGTTACTGTATCCCCTGTAGCCATAACTTCCACTTCCGTATCCGTAAGAACTCGATCCGCATGGGCAGGAGCTCAAATAAATGGACGGTAAAATATTTTCTTCAGGTTAAGAAGCGTAAGGAAGTGTACAGTGGTAGCCGTGTTCGTCTTGATACAAAGTCAATATAGTCATACAAAGAGCAACTATTAGCTACTAAGATAAGCCTAGTGTTTCTTTTTTCTGGAAAGTTTTGACGAATTTGAACGTCCCATATATGGCATAATCGAAGGGACAAAGAGCTTTCTGGAATTATTTTTATCTTTACCGAATGAGTCACAGTATATGTAAAGGCAATTCTGATACGGCACTTTGATGTCTTTTTTTATTGTTAAAAATTAACTCATTTCTATTCTACGTCTTTCTGGGTTTTCGAAATGTAAGCACCAATATGAAGACAGTTCTGAAGATTTCTTCTGAAAAGCAGAAATTTTTTGAGGTTGAAGACTAATTTCTTATGAGGGACATGTATATATAAAAAATCTGTAATCCTTCTCGTAATTTGAAGACTGGTTAATCTTTCCAGCAGATTTTCTTTTATAACTACGGGGTGTTTCAACATAATGTATCGAGTATTTGTTCTTTGAAAACTTTTTTGTATAAAAAGATTTCGCCTATTTTTGAAAACCTTGTTGTAGAGCTGGTTTAAAATAGCTTTATAGTACAGAACAAATCACCGACTTCTTCATCACTGTAAGATTACGGTAGGAACTTTTAGCTTACAGCTCTATTGTGAATTAGTCGTGTTTCAAATGATTTTCCAAAAAATCTGGGTCGGTAGTAATCTGGTCGAAACTCCGAGTTTGAAGCTCCGCGTTAACTCAGAGATAACTCTGAGTTCCGTTTTTGAAACTCTGAGTTACACTTATTGAAACTCTGAATTCCGCTTTCGTAATTCCGAATTCCAACTCTCAAGCTCGGAGTTTTGCCTTGAGGAGCTGTTAAGCACTTTGCTGCAAAAGCGACGTTAAAGTAGGGACTCGAACCTGTATGGTCTAACGTAAAGATCCTATCACTAAACCGCTAGACCATGACACACCCATGAACCCTAAAATTGCTTTGCCATAATGTACTCATTCATTCCATTAACACTTAGCAGGTCAAAACAAGTTATACCAAAGCCTCACTCATTTCCATTTCTATCGGGCAGTGATGGTTCATCACGAGGATTGGTCTTTTGCGCAGCTGAAAGCTTCAAACAATAGAGAAAGCGGATGGCATACGCAATGATAAGAATTGACTATTAGGATTTGCGCACAGAATAAATCCTCCGGGCAAAGTTTGCCCTTCCATGATTTTGTCTTACTTACCGTATACCTACCGTAACCGTTCCATACGTCACTAGTGTATGTAGCAGATAGATTGTCCGTAATCTGCATCCCGAATAACTCCAGTGTACCAAATTTCGGCTAATTCCGCCGCTTTAATTCATCTACCGTAAACCTACCGTAACCTCGTCAGATGACACTGCAGTATAATCTACATGTCATATTCGTTATCGGTGCCCCGAATAACCCCAGTGTACCAAGTCTCAATTAGTTTCGTGATTTTCTCCCATCTACCGTAAACCTACCGTAACACCTCTACATGACCCCTTAGTAAAAAATGGGTACCATATGCGTGATTAGCGCACCGAATAACCCCCTGGGCCAAGTTTTTACAAAATTTCAAAATATTGTAAATCACTGCGCACCACGATACCCCCATCATGCCTGCTTAAACTACGAGCAAAATGTACCCCGGAGGACTCTTTAGCTGCCCCTCTTCTTTTGCGCACTATTTCTCTTTCTCTGACCAAACTCAGAGTTATCTCTGAGTTCCACGATAGACTGGAACTCGCGCCAAACTCAGAGTTATCGCAGACACTAGTTGCGCGTTTGGTGGCGCTGTTTCTTGTGCAGGACGATTTGGACAATGTTGCGCTACTAGGAATAAACTACGTGTTAAGGAGAATCCTGCCATATCATCGCTTTCCGGATTTGATCTGTTCAAACACCTGTTAAGGGGGTCAAAAAGTTGCGCGTTAGCTCAGAGATAACTCAGAGTTAACTCTGGGCTATAACTCTGAGTTTCGATAGGTTTACTACCAACTGCTACTGCTACTTTACTGCTGAAATACAAATTGGAGCCTCGATTTTGTCCTACGAACCCGAAGTCCTATCGCGCAAGACTTTGGAAGCGTTTTGGATCAGCGCTAAAAATCCAAAAATGAACCGGAAGGAGGAATGTATTGCAATAACTAACGAACTCGCACCATATCAGGCCCTTTGCGGTTTCTGAGGCTAGGTCAGGTCACCTCATTACTATAAATAGGGCAGAGGTATAGTTATTGTATAGTTGGTGGTCCCTCGTACCCCCTATGCAACGTTTAAGGTGAGTATTGCTTTGCCGTGGCTCTGGTTCTTTCCTTCGTACTAGCTTTCAAATGAATTGTCTTGCTTCTTCATTGACGTCTGAGGAAAGAGATCCTTATGTATCCGACTTTCTAGGCCCTGACGAAGGCGATTGCGCCGAAACGTTGGCCGAAGTTAATAAAGAGAAATTGCCATCTTGGTCGTGTTGCTCAACATCCTGCTACGGTTCATAATCTCAATTTCACCATATGCTAATGTGGATCATTTGATTTACATGATTGTCGAAACACATACTCAGTAAAACATTTTTAGCGAAGTTTGTGGCAGTTACAGCAGCTACACAATCCCTATACGCTCGTTTTGACTAGTGTACCAGTAATGATCAGTTGAGTTCTATGATACAGTGTTTCAACTGACGCCGCATGGGGAAAAGAAATTTTGTATGGTTACGCAAACTCGCTGTGCGCGATGCCAAATGACAAAATAATGATGACATGACAAATTAGTGACGCGCATTTTGCATGAAGTAGATCAAGCGGATGAACTGGATTAAGAGGATCAAGAGGATCAAGAATGGCGGGTCCCTTAATTATGTCAATTTTATCAGAAATGACCACATTTTCAGCCGTCCGATGTATCTCACTCTCCCGATCAACTTCCCTCTAGTCGTCTTAACTATTGAAGAAATGCAGAAGCCACAAAATCAAGTGGACATTACTAGGAAGAAATTTGAGAAAGTAGTTCAAATGTCTTAATAATGTAACATAAACCGGACAGTTACGGCAGATGATTTTTTCTGGGTCGGTAGTAATCTGGTCGAAACTCCGAGTTTGAAGCTCCGCGTTAACTCAGAGATAACTCTGAGTTCCGTTTTTGAAACTCTGAGTTACACTTATTGAAACTCTGAATTCCGCTTTCGTAATTCCGAATTCCAACTCTCAAGCTCGGAGTTTTGCCTTGAGGAGCTGTTAAGCACTTTGCTGCAAAAGCGACGTTAAAGTAGGGACTCGAACCTGTATGGTCTAACGTAAAGATCCTATCACTAAACCGCTAGACCATGACACACCCATGAACCCTAAAATTGCTTTGCCATAATGTACTCACTCATTCCATTAACACTGAGCAGGTCAAAACAAGTTATACCAAAGCCTCACTCATTTCCATTTCTATCGGGCAGTGATGGTTCATCACGAGGATTGGTCTTTTGCGCAGCTGAAAGCTTCAAACAATAGAGAAAGCGGATGGCATACGCAATGATAAGAATTGACTATTAGGATTTGCGCACAGAATAAATCCTCCGGGCAAAGTTTGCCCTTCCATGGTTCCGTCTTACTTACCGTATACCTACCGTAACCGTTCCATATGTCACCAGTTTTAGCAGATAGATTGTCCGTAATCTGCATCCCGAATAACTCTAGTGTACCAAATTTCGGCTAATTCCGCCGCTTTAATTCATCTACCGTAAACCTACCGTAACCTCGTCAGATGACACTGCAGTATAATCTACATGTCATATTTATCGGCGCCCCGAATAACCCCAGTGTACCAAGTCTCAATTAGTTTCGTGATTTTCTCCCATCTACCGTAAACCTACCGTAACACCTCTACATGACCCCTTAGTAAAAAATGGGTACCATATGCGTGATTAGCGCACCGAATAACCCCCTGGGCCAAGTTTTTACAAAATTTCAAAATTTTGTAAATCACTGCGCACCACGATACCCCCATCATGCCTGCTTAAACTACGAGCAAAATGTACCCCGGAGGACTTTTTAGCTGCCCCTCTTCTTTTGCGCACTATTTCTCTTTCTCTGACCAAACTCAGAGTTATCTCTGAGTTCCACGATAGACTGGAACTCGCACCAAACTCAGAGTTATCGCAGACACTAGTTGCGCGTTTGGTGGCGCTGTTTCTTGTGCAGGACGATTTGGACAATGTTGCGCTACTAGAAATAAACTACGTGTTAAAGAGAATCCTGCCATATCATCGCTTTCCGGATATGATCTGTTCAAACACCTGTTAAGGGGGTCAAAAAGTTGCGCGTTAGCTCAGAGATAACTCAGAGTTAACTCTGAGTTATAACTCTGAGTTTCGATAGGTTTACTACCGACCCTGGAAAATAGTGTATCAGGGTTTTCACGATCGCTAATTTTATTATTACATTTACAGTTTCAAAATTTTCTGATGGGGTAATCTCATTTACAGAGCACTGTAAAAACGCCTATAGTGATTTACGTAGCATAATTTATGAACGAAACACTGGTAAAGTGCGAAGTTCATATTTGGCGTCAGCGGCTCTGATTAGCCGATATAAGAGTTTAGGTTGTTAAATTCGATTTCTGAGGCGGATTGGGGCCTGCAATGGCTCAAAACCCTTTCCAGAATTCCTACCGTAATCTTACAGCAAAGAAGAGCATTGATTCGCTCCATACTATGACTCTACGTTGAAGTCAGCTCTACAGCATAATGTTTGAAGAAAGGCGAAAGCTTC